TGACTAAAGTCAACTCGCTTCGATTGAAACATCTAGAAGGAAGAAGCAAACATCTAGAAGACAAAACCACAGAATAAAGTATAACTCCGAATACCGGATCCCGAACGGGACTCAAACCAACGTCCAACGATTTCCAGTCGCGTGCTCCTCCCACTGAGCTATCGTTGATTTATCGTTGACTGGCTATTATATGGAACCACATATTCCAACAGCTTCGACTTCGAGATCTAGTAATAGGTAGAATTAAGATCACAGTACTAACATTTTTTATTCTAGAGCTGGCTAGCCTTATGACGTTCATGAGAGAATGGGAAACAGAAGCATATCTAGAAGCTTTTCAATAGGATCTCTTGTCAAGTTCCTCAAGACTTTTTCACTTTGTAAACTTTAAAAGTTATTGATTTTGGACATCATAATTGAACGAATCTTATTAAATTAACACTTAAAATATTAATTAAACAAGTAGTTTTCAACAGAAATCAATTTCAATATTTTAAAAAGTCCACAAAAGATCTTAAACAAATTTTCATCAGTTTAAATTATCTCAAAATGATTGTACAGCATTCTTTAAAATTGAGCTTAACTGAATGTACAGCTAGAGAAGCAAAAAAGAAGCTGAAATTCAAAGAGAAAGAGATATCCAATTACGAGATTACCATTACAATTATTCAATCTTTGTCAATGGCATCTGCTCTTGATATCTATTATCATCATCGTCGTCGTCGTCTTCATCCCTTTCTTGATTCCTTTTTGGATTAAATTTTTTTTTCTCTTCTGTCTCTTCAGTTTTTGTTCCATTGACTGTTGCTTCTTTCTTTCAATTCTTTCATCGTCGTTAGAAGTAAATTTTCATTTCTACAAGTGAAACTCTGAAAATTTGTCATCATGGGTGACGCACCAAGTACCATGCATACTTACATTTCTTTTAAAAGACAGCACAAAAGAAAAACACAAAAATGAACAGTTTATGAAAATTTCTCTTGATGATATTATATGATAATCTTACATGTATGTAAGCATGCATAAAATTGAGGAGAGAAAATAAAGACGAGAATGAAAAGAAATGTTGATGACTTGTTGGCCTGTCAACAAGAGTCTCGCAAGAGGAAAGAAATAAGATGAAAAAAATAGTATGTTGGGCAAAAAATAGACGATAAAGACATCAGAAGTAATTTTTTATGTAAGATATAACAAAAAAGATAGTGAAGATTGCAATCAAGTTATGTAGGAATGTGGCGCTTTTTTGGAATTGGAATGAGTTCACTTAATGATGTCACTGATGTGGTAAACTTCAATGTTGACTTATGTAGACAAAAAAAGTTTCAAAGATGACAAAATAGAAGAGAGAGGGGGAAGAAGGTGTCAGGGGTGTAGCCAAAAATTTTTCGAGCGGGGCTAGGGTTTCGAGAATTCCCGTTCTCGTGTAATTTCAGGAATCGGGAACAGGAACGGGTATGAAGGTCGGTAACGGGAATATTCTCGGAAATTTATGGCGTACAAAAAGGTTCAAAAATGGAACCAAAACTGCATGTTCTGACTTTAAAATGCACAATTATATCATTTTAGGCTAAAATAATCATATTCTATAGCTAATAGAACTGAAATAATGTATGAAACGGGAATTTCGGGAATATCCACGACTGATTTTCGGGTGACGGAAACGGAAATCATGGAATTCTCGGGAATAATCCTGATCTTAAAACCTCTAAGCGGAGGGTTTTTTTAAAGACGGAAAAGTTAAAGGATGTTAAACCAGGAAATCGATAAAACCTACTTAAACCTTAGCAAACTGAAGAATTTTTTGACGAAGTGAGGTTAGGAACTTAGCTAGGGGGGTTTTGATTTTCTTGGTCCTTCCATGGCAAAATCGCTGGATGATCACCGATTCCTTGTTTGATACTATCTCTATCAAGATCGTGAGTTCTATGGAATTAAGGGGAGGGGGACCAAATATTTTTTGAAAAAAAGTGGACCTGAAAGTAAAATAGAGGACACCCCAAGTGACTAATTTTACCATTTTTTTTTCGTTTTCTGGGAGAATAAAATTATTTTATTTTTTAAAAATGAAAATAATAGTGGACTGTCCTCTGAAAAACCAAGCAGATGGTTAGCCTACATAAGGACCTCTTTTAAGGCCCTTTATCCCTTCTCTATGGATACTTTCCAAAAACCCTATTACCTTAGACACTGCATCTCACAAAAGACAACAAGCATCGATTCCCAAATCCATCAAAACAATGATTTCATCACTTCCATAAATCAGTCAGACATCGATCAGACATAAATAAACTCATTATACCATTTACTCTACAATATCAAGCTAAAAAAAATCATTTCATATAGTTTGTTGATATAGAAAGCATAGCAAAAGCAACAACCATAAGTAAAAATAAATTTCTTTACATAATCGCAATTTACTTAGGAAAGCAAAAAAATGAAGAAAAATTTTCGCCCTTACCCATAATAGCATTATATACAACATCAGAAAATAGAAAATGAAGTCAGTAGTTGATAGAAAGAAGAAAGTAGGAATTTTCTATCATGCCTCATCAAATAGAATCAATTTGAGCCATGATTCACCCAAAAAAAAAAAAAAATAAAGAAGTAAGTAAGATAGAAAGGAAAGCAGAAAAGCAATTGGTTGTGTTGTGTATTACAGCACAGCAGAATAAAAAGGAATTTTTTTTTTCCATCGTTTGTTGAATAAGAAAATCCCCACTCATTTGATTTTATCAACTTACTTAAACAGAAAATTGAATTTTTATGGTTTTGCGTATACGTTAACATTACAACAACAATAATAACAGCAGCTATATAAGCAATGTTGTAGAGATATATAACAAATTTTCAATATTACGTCGACATAAAAAAATTTTGCTTCGTTTTCTTCTCGCTCGTTTATAAATCAAATCATATAATCACGCATTCAATGAGTGAAATAAATGAGAAGTACTTTATGTGAAGGATTTGTTTTAATGCGATAGCAAAAGAAAAACTTTATTGATGCTGCTTCTGCTTATTTTGGATGAATTATGAAGTTTCAACCAATATGTTTATTAATAAAATCGATATATGTTGGTAGCAAATAGCTGTTGAGATAGTTGTCACTATTTGGGGGTAGCAAGTAGGTTCAAAAGGCAGACTAGGGTTAAATTCGAAAAAATGGCTGAATTTGTAAAAAAAATTACAAAAGTCCTCGTTTTATTGATCGAGGTACATCAATTATCGTACAAAAACTGTTTATCATTTAACGGTTATTTGAGATTCAAAATTTTTCAACTGTAGAGGTAAATTCGAATTACTAAACGCTCTCATCACGTGTTTTTTCAAATAAAATATAAAAATCATTAATTATAGTATTTATCTATTGTTTTACGGTTCGAAAATAATCTTAAAGCCAACAAAATAATGGACCAGAGCTAATAAAACAAACTAGAGCTCTCTACGATATCTGGTTAATGAGATCTCAGACACAGCCGAGCAGCCGAACAGCCGATCAAAGTGAATTGTTAAGATATCTTTTTGAAACACGTTTCGAAAATGCGCTAAAAACAGATTAATATTTTGGAACCTTTCGATGATTATATTCTCCATGTTCACTAGTCTTAATGAGTCTGTGAAGTACACGGGAGCAAGTTGTCAGGGAGTGGTGAAACTTTGCCTGAATTACGTCAATATTATGTCCATTTACGTCCCGCATTTAAATATTTTTGTCCTACTTGCTATAAACCCCTTAAAAGGTTTTGGGTATCTTTCCCGCGTACTTGTAAAATAATTGGGGACTATTTTTTTAAAACCAAAACCAGCGCCGTTCTCTAGAGCTACCTGGGACACTCTCCTATCAGAAAAGTTTAACTTGTATCTCATTTTGAGGGAGATTGAATTTTATTCTTACACTAATGTTTCCTCAAGTAGTTTCAGATGTTCAGCTAACCCAGTGTTTCTCAAACTTTTTTGGTCCATGGCACTTTTTCCACTTAATATAGGATCAATTTCAGCTTTCAAATTTTTTTACAGCATACTAGTGTTATGCGGCACATAATTTGAGAACCATTGAGCTAGCCCATATCAGAATTTGATACGGATTTGACTTTGTCTTTGCATGATTTTGCTTTTTACAAAGGCACAATTTGGGAATTTTGACTGTTAAGTTTCTTTTTACAAAAGATTTTTTTTAAACCTTGTCTTTACATTACCTTTGAAAGATTTGAATTTTTAAAGTCAAAGGCAAGAAATCAACTCTGTCCCATATGTATCTCGAACAAATGATTATTTTTGTCTGTGTAGCAATAACTAGGTACGAAATAACGGAGTACCAAACCACTATGATGCTGAGCAATTTTATTTTACAAAATTTTTATCTAGTGCTCAATATTGCTCAATTATACAAAAGATAGTCTGCATTAACCGGTGGAAAAAAACGAAAATCTATTAAAAACTAGCAATGCAAGGGGAGAATTATGTCAGTCAGACATCTGCAAAATTTTATTAATTGGCGCGAATTTCTTAAATAATTTCATCTTTAGTTTTTCAAAAAGTGGAAGAAGCTATTATGAAAATTAAATAGATTCTTACTGAAAAAACACAGAACATACAAAGTGCATCCCTTTTGACTTCAAGCAATCCACGTTGTTTCAGCTTTTCTTATCTAAAATCACAGTTGATTGTTATTAAAATTTAAAAAATTAGCTCGTTACTCGCTCTTTCGTTACTCGGAGTCTCTCATTCCTTCCCCTCAAATCCAAAATCTCGTGTATTTATTTATATAAATGCAATCTACACATTCTCTCATCTAACCAGCATAAAATTGGTCTTTTGTAAACGAATGAGCTTCTTCTCATAATAAAGACACTCTCGGGGTCAATTCGATTTATGATTTCTTTCTCTTCTCTATCGTCATTCCGTTATGCTTCTTCTACCACACTCCTCATCATACCCAAAATATCTAGTGAAAGTGTCGTGTCGCTCTTGTATTTTTTTTTATTTCTTCTATACTTATTGTCAATTGGTCGTTGACACAAAAAGAAATTACTTTGAGACACCATTCTACTTTTCGTGAGTTAGACGTAGCTAGAGCTGTTGCTTATTTTTATCTACGTAAAGTGCTCCACTTGTGCTGTAAAAAATGGATTTGAAGAATTTAAAATCAGTTTTTATCATCGCTGAAATTGGACAAAATCACCAGGGTGACATTGTGACGGCAAAAGAAGTAAGTAATAAAAATATAATTTTTACGGCCATCTTTCTCATTCCAGTCAGCAGCATCGTCAGTCTTAGCTCTAACGATATCGTGCTTTAATCCAAATTAATTTCACTTAAAGTATCAATTTTATCATCCCCACTTTACGTTTCTTAGATGATTCTTGAGGCATCGCGTGCTGGCGTTGATTGTGTAAAATTTCAAAAGTCGTGTCTTGAAGCAAAATTTACGAGAAATGCTCTAAATAGACCGTATAATTCACCACATTCTTTTGGCTCAACGTACGGCGAACACAAAAGATTTTTGGAATTTACGATTGAGCAGTTTAAGGAATTGAAGGATTATGCTGAATCATGTGGATTAGTATTCAGTGCTTCAGCTATGGATATTGTATGTTAATTTTCTTTTTTTTGTCTCTTTTTATTGTTATTATTTTTAGTCTCTCTTTTAACATTGCCTTTGCCTTAGTAAATAAGCAGTGAAGTGAGATTTAAGAAAATTAAATTGCATTTTTTGATCGCTGTTTGCGAAGCTGGATTGAAATTTATGTTGAAGTGGTGCCATTTATCTTCACCAAACTGAGATGGTCGAGTTTGAGTGACTTTAATCAATGGTAGATAAAATAGTGGAAGTCTTAGGGGTCTCCACAAATCCTGTTAAAGCACACGCTTTGTTCTATCATTTATATCAGTGATTCTCAAACTGTGCCGCAAAAAAAATTGACTGCTAAAATTGGACCTTTATTTTTATGTTTTATTTCTTCAAAAACTTCAAGTAAAAAACTTTACTTTAAGTAAAAAATGTGCCCTAGACCAAAAAAGTTTGAGAAACACTGACTTATGTTATGAAATCTAGCTTAATTCCTTCCATAAATTTTGAAAAAAGTCCTTAATGGCGTAGCAAGAAAGTAGACCTATAAGCCATAAGACCCAAAGTTTGGATAAGGTGGACATTTTGAAATTCGACAAACTTTTCTGATAGGCACACATTGAAATTCAATTAAAAGCAAGCGGCAACCGATTTACAATTGCAGCCTCGGGTCAAACTTTTGGCATACAACGTGTGCCGATCGAAATTGTGGAACTGAATTCAAGCCGAATTCTGACTACGCTAGCTTCTCAGTGCTGCTAATCTAAGTTAATAATACAGATGATTTTGTATATTAGAAAACATCCAGAGGATCAATTTAACTGCCTAGAATACCTGAAAAATAATCTGTAAAGGGTCCAGCCTTTCAACTAGAGGCACTGCGATTCAAATTAGAACAGAATCTATTGTACCACACCTTTTAGACCTACATTTTATAGTGGGAACCGAACCACTTGTGAATCCTCCTATACCCATTTAAAAATTCAAGATTCTCAAAAAATTGACCTAACTTCACCCAAGTCAATATAATTTTGGAATTTTCATCGCTCAATCAATTCGAATGTTCGAATAAATAAGATTATAAATTTTTGTTCAATGAATCTACTCACCATCTCACACTTCTCAATTCATCTTTCTCATTTCATGCTCTAAATATCTATTCCGTAGACTGGAGAAGCAAAAAATATATTCATAATAATCTTGTCTTGTCTCCTACCCTACTGATATATTTAATAATAAATAAATACATAAAAAGAAGAGAATCATCTCATTTCTCTCATCTCTTCTTTCTTTTCGCTTCAATTCTTATAAGCATTTTATTTTCACATCATTAGGTTTCATTTGATGAGCTGAAGCAATTGGATTTGCAATTTATCAAAATCGGTTCGGGCGATACGAATAATATACCGTATATGCGGCATATAGCAAAACAAAATGTTCCATTGATTGTATCCACTGGAATGCAAACAGAAGATACAATTACAAAGGTTTACAACATCCTCAACGATGCTAGTGCCAATTTTGCCCTTCTTCACTGTATATCATCATACCCAACAAAAGTCGAAGACACCAAATTGAATTACATTTCTCGTTATCGAAAATTATATCCCAACATATCCGTTGGTTATAGCGGTCACGAAATTGGCTACGAATCCTCATGCTTGGCAATCTTGATGGGAGCAAAGATTTTGGAGCGACATTTTACGCTCGATAAAAATCAAAAGGGATCAGATCATTGTTTATCTTTAAACCCAAAAGAACTCCATACACTTGTCGATAAAGTTCGTCTGATTGAAAGAAATCCAAATGTCATCCAACTATCTTCATCCGTAATGTCCAATGATTTACTCAATTCTGTAACGAAATTGAATTTGTTTGAAAGTCCAATGGGATTTATTACAAAGGCATGCCAGCCGAACAACATACCGAGATCAATTTTTCCATGTGAGTTAATGTGCAAACAAAAATTGGGCAAAAGTCTGATTTACACACGAGATTTGAAAAAAGGACAGCATATAGTTGAAAGTGATATTGGCGTGAAAGTAAGTGAACCTAATGAAATCCCCGCGGAATTTTATGACAACATCATTGGAAAGGTTCTGATGCGTGATGTGTTTTATGATGATCCAGTTATGGAGTGTGACACGTTGGACAATAGCATGTAGATGATACTGTCTATGAAAATGAAAGTGTTGACGTGTTCATGTCACACAAAATTCTCTCGTATGCTTGACAATGAACTTCTATATTTGCTATACTATTTTTGGATATAATGATAAATGTAAGATAAACGCTGAGAATAAATAAATGTTTATTGTACTTTATGGTTTCATAATTACATACCCATTGTTTTATTTTTGTTTTGTCTCAGAATCAACTGCTTTATTGATGTTGGCGAAAATTTTACAGTTATAAAAAAATTTATTTCACACACCTGGTGTGTCATTATTGTCAATTTTTATTGTTAAAGGTCCAATTATGGATCGTTCACTTATGACGTCCAACATTTAGGGGGAGGGAGGGGGTCAGGATATTTTGTGACATATAATTTTTTAATCAGAAAATTATAATTTTTTTGTGCCTTGGATTGGACGTCACAAGGATGGGGGGGGGGGGGGTATTGATATCTGTGACAGTTTTGTGACAGAGGGGGGAAGGGGGTCTAAATCAGGTTTTTTTTTGATGGACGACATAAGTGAACGGCTCCTGCCTTATCGGGTTGTTTAATAAGATTCATTCAAGATTTTGAGCATAGGGAAGGTCTTGAGACAGAAAAGGAGAGTGTTGTGACGTAAACCCCGGTTAAACGTCACGGATCATGGGCAATAGAATGACTCATGGTTGAAAACAAGCAAAATTTCTTCAATATCTTGATTTATGAATATTTATTGCAAATTACAAGTTTCACTAAATTTGAGTAGATTGCAGGCAAGGCGTATAGACTCAGGAATAATCCAAAAATTACAAAAAAAAAATTCCAGCACATCCTGTCCAAAAACATCTCAATTATTCATCAACTTAAATAGGAATTCCCACTTAATATTCAAAGTTTGATGACAGGAAGTGCTGGGATTTTTAAGATTAACCTCGAGCGTATATGCCTTGTTTGCAGGCGTATGAATGACAATTATTTTAATTTTTACAGAATAATGGGTCATAAATTGTTCTAGTTCAAGTTTAAAGCAAAACAAAAAAATTTCCAAAGTGATGAAATTCACTTCAAAATCTTGATATCCGAGCAAGTTACAAAATTCTCTTGAGGTCCACATCCCAATCGTCCACCACCTTCAGGACACCATCCCCAATTATTTCCACAAATGTATTTCCATCGAAGAACACAATGATTGCATGAAAGTGTTGATGGTAGTTGAAGAGACACATAATAATCCTTTGCAGCACTTCCAATTGCATATTCCTTATTTCCATCGATAGTAAGAAGTTGATTCTTTGCAAAGCACTCCTCGCTCTCGCCTTCATTGTCAAGATTACAAATGTCGAACAAGAATTTTCCCAAATGATTCGCTGTGATTTTAACTGTGACTTGAATGGATGAACCTCTCGTGTAATTAGCCACAATGACACCACTGCCACCATATTTTCCACCTAATTCGTTAGCTCTTGGCGTTGTTGCTTGATATGGGTCACCGCAAATTCCACACTTTCCATTGTGGTTCATCCATTGATTAGAATATCCACCACAATTGGTGCCATTATCATCATAATTAATTGGAGCTGTACGATCTGTCCTCCATCGTGTACTACGACCTGGCGGTGACATTACCATGCCATGTCCTCGAATTTCATTGATTAAATTAAGAATTAAAATAATGGCGATGAAAAGAATTTTCATTTTGTTGTCTTCTTGCTTGATTCTTTTGAAACTCGCGACAGACTAATGAAGACTGAAGGCACTTAAGCTCACGAATATCACATTTATTCATTATTTATACAGATAAGAGAAGAAAAAGCTTATGTGTCATTGAAAGAAGTGTCTGATTCTTTTTTTTGAGTTCTTTATGTCTACGGCATGACTTTTTATTGAAATATCACATTAGCTTTAGTCATTTATCCTGTCTTTTACTCTATATTTGACATAAGAAGAAGACACTTTATTTTCAAATTTTTTTTTTGAAGGTATGTTCATATAAAATTATATACCATATCATTTTCCTTATGTCATAGGTATATCTACTTATGTATATAATGAGAAAGAGAGAATGTACACGCCTTTATATTTCTCTTTTCAATTATGAATGAACTTATTGTTGGATGAAGAAGAAAAGACAATAGCGATGTTGTTAAGAAGTAATAAAATAATTAAGTCATGAATGTGATTTACGTGATGAGTGCCTTGTAAGTTTTAGTTTTCTTTTTCTTTTATTTTCTAGGAATTGATTTGTGACACATGTGGAATATAGATCTTGTGAGTTTTAAACAGTCGGGTCACTAGCGCAGTTCTTAGGTTGAGGAAACCATCTAGAATAGTAATTCTAAGACGGTATCTATTTTAAAATATCATGGCAAGTTGATGGATAGAGTTGTTAAATCAGACATAGTTAAAATAAGACAAATTCATAAAAACGCTGAATTCAACATAAGAAGGTGAGGTTTTTAAGTCAAGCTTAAGTCGTCGAAAATCCTATTAAACTACTGCAACTTTAGCATGTTTAACTAAAATATTAAAAGGACCGTGAATCCAGATTATTCAATCTTAAAGAGTAAAGTGATACAAAACTCCTGCTATACCCAAATATGCCAATTTTCTCTATTGTATTCAAATATTCTTGTTGGCACTTTTTGGTATAGCAAGAGTATCTATTGGAAATATTTTAATACAATCAGGTAAATTGGAATATTTGGGTATAGCAGGAGTAACTTCAGATTTCTTCAAGCTATCTTAAATTAGCCAAAAACTCACATCTATTCCAATAACTCAGGTTCCCCTCTAAGAGGGGGAACAAATCCAAGATAAGTTTTGGGTTAAATCCTTATTAAGGAATTAGCGATAAGTGTCAAAAACATTTGATTCCATTTTTTTTATCACCCCCGAGGAAATCCAATAAAAATTGCAATTGTGCAATCAGACTTTCATTCTCTCATATTTCACAATAACCAGATTATAATACTTCAATAATCCAATTGTAAAGCACTTGACAAATCAAATGATTCATACTTATTGACACTTTGATCTTTGTTTAGCAATTTTCATTATCAAAATGTATTTATAGATTATCAATTAACCTCCTTGTAACCTTTGTATATCGCAATTAATGCTGAAACAATAAAAATGAATTGCACGAAAATTTCTTGTTTATTTCCCCAACCATACAAGCAAAATAATATTACAAGACTCATAAATCGCTGTAAAAAAATTTCTGACATTCAATAAATGTAATATCGTATGGATGATACAAGAAACTAATTATTCTAAGACGACAAAAGATGGTTTTTGTTCCTTCAGAGAGGAAATAAGAAAAATGTCAAATAGAACATTTTTTTTCCATGTAGATAATATAAAGCCAAAAGCAGCAGCAGCTGATAAGCATTTCTTTGTGCTTGCTTTGACTGTCTATATACATCCGTTGTTACAAGCGTAAAAGAATGGTAAGAAGGCAGATGAAGAAGGAAAACCGAATGAAATTGCAATAAATCTTCTCGGTCGAAAAGAAAACGCAGCATTAAAAAAAAGAGGAACTAAAGAGAATAGAGAATGAACGAATAAGCTCGACGACGACCATCACAAGAAGAAAAAAAGAAAGGCATGAAAGGAGACGGAGAAAAATTATTATGCGCGTTCGGAGATCACAAACAATTAAATGAAATATATTAAATCGCAACAACATTAATTAAATATATGTGAAGGAGGATGTGGAATATCATGGGTAATCTATCTAGCTCCGGTTTCTTCCTTATTTTCAGTCACAGGGGTGTAGTCGGAAAAATTATTATTTTGGGGTTCCTTAACAGTTCTATTTATTCATCATTCTGTTTAAGAACCAGGAACATTTTAGATTCAGGCTTTAATGATGGAGTTGACTATGTTTAATGTCCAAGAGCTGATTATTAGAGGAGGATCAAACCTTCGAAAGGATTTAGTCAACGATTTGACCAAGGAGCTCTCTTTTGCACCCTTCAGCCTAAGGCATGCTAATTAATCGACTATTATAGTCATTTACTTAAGACGGCAATCAATTAAGACGGAAAAAATGGTTTAAAAATTGATATTTTTAATTTACGTCATTGATGAACGAACCCTTTTGATACAGTCGCAATTTAAAATGAACAAAACCTCTCCATTGTAAATGTTGGTTTAAAAACCTTAGAATTTTCATTAAATTGGAACCAGCCCCAACACCCTGACTCCACACCTACTTCATACCCATTCCATCGATTTCAATTCATCTTCTCTCTTAAATATATTTATCTCTATCCGCACACATAAAGCTTCTTTTATAAATTGTTGATTTGATTTCTTCCGCTTAGCTGTTAGGGATTTTTCCTTTTCATTCTTCTTCTTTTTCTTCTTTTGTCCTATTCTATGCTGTATGTTTATACATACACATGTATATAAGTCATGAAATATCATTCCATCTATCTCGACTCTATTCTTATTTGTTGCTGGGCATTTCTTATTTTTTTGCTCCACTTCTTCTCGTTGAGATTCAATTCGAAAATGTAATTTGTTGTTATATCATAGATTTACTTATCATTAAGCTTTTTCTTATTTATTTATCATATATATATTTTTTTATGTAATGTAGCAAATGAGAATGAGAAAAGTGGCAATTCAGAGGCAATTTCTTTAATTTTATTTCATTTTCTTTCTTTTGTGTCTTCTTGTAACTTGCTGGAAATAGGATTATAAAAATAAAATTGGGTGATTTAGCACCTCGGGTATGAGGAATTGTGATGATGATGTGATTGAATGAGTTTGGATGGAGAGGTGTCAGTCGGTGTTGGGTTTTATTTTAAAGTAGCTTATTAAAGTTGACGAAATTATGGAGCTAGAAATTTTTGGAAAAGGTGGAATGAGGCTTGATTTATATTTTAAAAAAATCCTAGCAAATCGAACCCTACTCGCGGTATGATGTATATTTGAACCTAAAATGATTCCTATGTGACTAGAGGCTCGGACGCATTACGATCTTGATCAACAATTTTTTATATCCTAGACCAATTATGTGCAGGAGCACCAAAAGCTAATTAGTGCAGAACAGTGATAAAGAAATGCCAGCTTAATGCGCGGACAGACAAATTGTACAAACTAGGCAACAAAACCAGTAACAGAGTCAAATGAAAAGCCTCTTGTTGTAACCTAAGCTCCTCATAGGAACATGGTCACAATATGTAAATAATTACACCAATAACTCCTCTTTAATTACCACAAATTTCCAAAACTCCTAAACAATTTCTTAAAGTCTCTTTTATCGTTCCGGAAGCGTGCATCCATAAAACTAAAATTTTTAATTATTATTGCCATTATTAAAGAAATTGTAGGCCCTAAACCTCCTCCACGAAAAATATTTTCTTATCTTACCGCTCAGAATTTATTGCAAAAACGAGATTATAAAATTTCAAAGTCACATTGTGATTGTATGACTAGCACTGACGTAGATTTGACATTCTTGAATTATTATTTGGTTTTATGTAAAAAAAGACAAATAAGAGCAAATGAAGCAAAAAGGCTTACTCAACAAGATTACATAAAAATTTCATTGTTTAGTGGCATGTCAAGATTTTTTTTATGTCCATTCAATTCACAATAGTCTTGGATGTGAGACGATTTCATTTAAATAATCTTTCAGCATTATCTCTTGTCTCATTTCCCATTGCTCAATATAAGCTTTTTTCTTTATTCATGAGTGTGTGTTTATGTGTGTTATTGGATATAAAGAATTGAGGAATCAATGAATTATTATGTTGATTGAAGAGATTATTGAGAACTAGGCTATTCGGGGACGCCTGTTAACAGGGTTCAAATTTGATTACTATAACTGTAGGACGCATATAATCGTAATGTTTTTAGAGTGTTTTACCTGACACCAACCTTGTCAACAACCCCTACCAAAATGGACCCCGTCCCCATCATATCATATTTACAATTCTTTTGTTAATTTATTTTTAAGACCAAAGATTTTTATGCCGATTTCAACAGTTACTGTTAAAACTGTTTAGAATGGCTTTTCCTTTGCAAACTAAAGAATTTGAATAAACAAATAATAATAATAAAAATAATAATAATCATGTCCCCAAATCATTGGCTTCACAAATGACTTCACATACCCCCAAAAAACATTAAAAATGGCTTCACAAAATATTCACCCTCTCCCTCCCCACCTGACACTCATTTTTTCAACACCACCCACCACCTCTTATAATGTGTGAAGGGCTCAGCTTTTCAGTTGGAGGCACTGCGACTCAAATTAGAACAGAATCGATTGTACCCTTTAGACCTACAGTTTATAGTGGGATCCAAACCACTTGCAAGCTCTGCACATTGCAAAGACACGAGTACATCATAAGGAAGAAGGCCAACGCTCTACCATTTAAGCCACTGATGCCCACAACCATGAACCCCTTAAACATTTCTACAAATCATTAGCTTCACACTGCTTCCGTTTTAGAGTCCTGGAGGGAATTGAGTGTTTATAATATAGATGGTGGATTTTTGGACCTTGAAATTCCCTCTTTTCCTATTTATTGTGTCAAATCCAAGGGATCTTAGCTAATTCAGCTTATTTTTATGAAGGAGTTGGCTTTTCAGACTTCAAGTTTCTTCTACTTTCATTAAATGACTTCTTTTCTTCAAAAGCTAGTCATAATATATTCTAAATTAATTAATTGAGCAAATCTCGCGTCACAGCTTCTGAAATACTATCAAAACTTAAAATAGACGAGAAGAG